TGTCTAGTAACTTGTAGGTTACTAGACGCTTTATTTATTTTAATTCCACTGTCTAGTAACTTGTAGGTTACTAGACGCTTTATTTATTTTAATTCTACCGTCTAGTAACTTGTAGGTTACTAGATGCTTTATTTATTTTAATTTTTCTATTTAGTAACTTGTAGGTTACTAGACGCCTTAATTATTATTATTTGCTATTTTCTTTTCCTGATTTTGTGGCCTGCTGTTTGAAACGGGTTTGTTTTTTTAGAATTTATATTTTAGATTTTTAAACAACTTTTCTATGTAACAAAAACTATAAAAAAAAAACTACTACTTTTTAAGTACTTTGTCCCTGTCCTTTTTGCTAACTTGCCTAGCTTAAGCAGTTAGCTTTTTTAACTTAAGTAGCTAATACTGCTTATAGTAAGCAGGTAGCCCCTTTAGCCTAGGTAGGTGCCTAGAACGCCCTAAGAATTTAGGTGGGCGTTTTTCTACTTAGTTTAAGGGGTTGAGGCCCTAAACCTATAATACTCTCCCTTTTTTTTGCTGCAAACTTTGCTGCTTTTTAATAAATAGAAAGGGTTATATATCCTATATTTAACTAAGCTAGCAGCAGGCTTACGCTTAGTAGCTTGTAATAATAAAGCTACTTAACTACTTACATAACTTAGCTAAATAACTAAGTTGTTTGTAAAAAATTTAATCCTGCGCACTATACAATTGCAATACGCTAACTAGCAGCCCTAATTTTAATAAAACTACTAATACTAGCTTAGTAAAGTTTTGGGCTAAAAGCTTATTTGTATCTAACTAGTACAAGTAGAAATTACTCTATTCTAGTATAAATTCTAATTTAGAGGCGTTTAGCTATAATTTAGCAAATAGTAGCTTTGCAGTAATGCCTAGTTAAATAGCTGCAAAAACTAATTATTTAAAACTATAGTTTCTCTTATACTAAGCAGTATTACTATTAGGGCAAAGTTATTAGTAGGGTAAAACTAACTTGTTTTATAATAGTCTAAACCCAGTTTATGTTCCCTATTAGTAGGTAAATAATCTAATACTTACTAAATTCTGCTTTAGTATAATAAGAAGAGTTAATATTAAAAGATTAAAAAGCAATGTTGCTATAAACGCTTAGCTACTACAAGCTAGTTATTCCTATAGTAATTTTTTTAGTATTTCTAGCTTTAAATTTTGAGGGACTAAAGGATTAATAGGCTACACTTTTATAGTTTGTATTTACACTAAAAATTAAAATTAAAAAAACTTTTACTTTTTTGCTTTACTGGAAATTTCTATTTTTTATAAGTCCCTTTTAGGATACCTGCGTTATAGTTTAATAAATATGCCGCCCTAACTAAATTTTCTACTTAATAATATTTTTAACCTAGATTAGCTTACAAAAAACTTTAATACTAGAAATTAGGCAATAAAGCCTAGCTCTGCTTTATTAAATAAGTAAAAAAACTATAAGGGTAGTAGTATTTTACTGGCGCTAAAGCTCCTACCTATTTTACACTCCCTATATCTTTTTACAATATTAAACTAGAATTAAGTTTAATAAGGTTTTTTTTTTCTGCTAATTTAGCCAAGCCTGTTCTTTTAGCTGTAGTTTTGCTAGATAGTAGATAGGAATAGTAGGAATTTTGTTAATTTATTTATACGCGTTACTAATTAGATAATAAAGTATTTAACTACTTTAAGAAAGTTATAGTTACTTCTGCTATTTACCTGCGCTTAGTTAAATTTTTTTGCTTTAATATTTAGAGCACTAAGCAGAAATTATATTGCATTAATACTACTTTCTAGCTATTGCAATGCTATGTTTTAATTAAATAGTTAAATTCTTTTTATTTGTACTAGTTCTAAGTTAGTTGTTAAACGTACGCTAAACAGCTAAAATTTACTAAAAGTACTTGCACTCTAGCGCTAAAAAGCGCCTACTTTGCGGCTAGTACTTTTCTGCGCTAAAAGCTTTTTTCCAAAGCCCAATGTACCCAATTTTTAAAGCTAATCCTTTTTTTAAAGTTATAAATTTATTTTACTAACTTTCCTTATTTATATTATTCTATTAACTAGAGGCTTTTTACCTTGGAAACCTGCTGCAGTTATAAGTATAATTTAGTATAAAAACTATTTTTTTAAGTAGATTTTTAAAGCTTGTTAGGAGCGCACTAAATACTGCAAAAGTGCAGCGCTTTTTTAGCTATTAAACCCTAGTTCTAGACAAACCAATTTTAGGGTAACAGACTATTAAAAAGAAAAAAAAACTTTTTTTAGAGCTTTTGCTAAAGTTTCCGCTTTTAGTTGCATTGCTGCAGAGAATTTATATTTAAATACTAGAATATTAACTAGCTTCCCTTTTAAGGGCGTGGCGCAAGCGCTAATATTAAAATAGAATTATTTTATTTTTTAAAATTAACTAACTTGTATCCAACTACTATTTATACAGAATTTTTCCCTACTTTAGTCCTTAAAGTTCTTATTTAAGTATTTGCTACTACTACTAAAATTTGTACTAGAAGCTGTTTAACCTAAAGTTATTTTTAAAGCTTTATTATAAGTTTTTATACCTGCCTACTTGCTAGGGCTTAAATTTTGCTCTAGCAGCGGGGTATAAGTAATATGCTTAAGTGCTATTTATTTTTAGGGCTAGTTTATTTAGCAGGTAAGTTATTATACACTTTTTAGTAAATTCCGACTTTTATAGCTACTATTCTGCTGTTTAGATAAACTAATACTTTTTGTAGTATTTAATAAGTATATATTCTAATACTTTAATTCTGTATTTAGTTTATCCTGCATTGCTAGTTCTGCTTACTAAAAATAGCTTACTAGTAATAGTATATTTAAGTATTTACATTTAATTAAGTAATAAGGACTTTTTACATATTTAAAGTTTAAGAATAAGTAAAAGTTGTTTTAACTTTTAGGCCTCTAATTATTCGCTTTACTTTATAAAACTAAATATATTACTGCTATTCTAAAAGAAATTTTAGCAGGAACTAGCTACTAAATAGTTTAATTAGTTTTTTACCCCTATGCCTAAATTTAATAATTAATTTGCATATTAGAACTGCTACAAGCTTTTACTAGAGTTTTTTCTAGCTTTACTCTATTTAAGTATAGTTTACTATTTTTTAGGTTTTAATAGCTATGCTCTTACTTAAATCTATCTAAAAATATTAGGATTAGTTAATAGTGTACTCTAAAAGGAATCCTACTTCTATTTACTTTTATTATGCGTTTAGGCTTAATACTTAAATACTTGTATAAATATTAGACTTTTTAGTCTGTATTTTAAAACAGGCTGTTTATAGCTATTATACTAGTATTCTAGTAAATGCGCAAATTTTAGTTTAGGCTAGTTGTATATTGCTTTTTCTATAAAGCCTCCCTAAAAGGAAGTACGTAATAGAAGTTTTTATTTAACTACTTAAACTAATACTAGCCTGTTTGCAGAAAAGTGCACTAAGTAAAAGCCTAAATAAGTAATTATAAGCAAGTCTGGCTGCAAGCGCTTCCCTTTTAACAATTTTATATACTATTTAACTTTTTTTTTAAAGTACTTTTTATTTTTTAATTACTCTACTTGTGCGCTATTAGTTTCTGGCTAGTATTTAGCTTTAAAAGAAATTTACTTCCTATTTAGAGCTGCATTCCCAAATAATTTAACTTATTAAAGGGGTTTTATACAGTAAAAGTTAGCAACTATATACAGGATTTTTACTTTCTGTAATATCCTATTTTAAAAAACTTAAATTGCTGCTAACGCCAAAGCGCTTTCTGCAAATTATAATTTGGACCCTAAAAGAGCTAGATTTTAAATTTAAGCTAATGCCGCTTTACTTACTATTACTAAGGCAATTTCTGTTAATTTTTTTTCCTCTGCTTATTAATATGCTTAAGTTTAGCAGGTATTCCTACTTAATTTAAAGTTAAAAGCAAAAGTATAGGCTTTGTAGATACAAGCATTTAAGCTAAAAAATGTAAAATATACTATACTTTAAAGTAAGTATACTAGCTGCTAATTGCTTTAAAGCAAGTCCCGCGCATAAAATAAAAATAAATACTTAATACTAAGTAGAGCTTAAAAGTACAAATAATGCTTAAATAAGTATACTTTATAAAATACTAAGGGGCGCAATGTGCGTTTAAAAATTTAATAATTTACTAAATTCTGCAATTTATACTACTTTTTGCATTTTGCTGCGTTTTTTATTAATGCTAGAACTAAAAAATCTGTTATTAAAAGTTGTAATTATTATATATTTTCTAATGCTGATTGTAATTATAAAGAGTTTTTATAGTATCTTATTAGCAGGCAGAGCCTGCTAAGGAAATAAATAGTATGCAAAAAACAAGAGTTTAAACAGGGACTAAAGTTTTTCTAAAAATTAGTAATAATCCTTCCGCAGGTTTACTTATAGAAACTTTATTATAACTTTTACTTCTTCTAAATAACTAAGTTTAACGAACTTTTTAGTTTGGGGTAGTTATTACTAACTTTTTTAAGCTAGTCCGAAGGCCTTACTAAGCTATTTAATTAGTAGTAGTAATAAGCAGTATATATAAAGGGCAGAAACGTAATTAATATATACTAATAATACACGCTTACTAGGCATTTTTTATTAAAGAGTAATAATTGCAATGCTCTATTTCTAGCACAACAGAGTTTAATAAAATTACTCAGACTTTTTAGCTAAAATAAAAAACTTATTAGCTTTATTAGTATAGCGCGCGTGTAGTTTAGAATATTTAAAAGTATTATAAACTTATTATTACTTTAAATTTTTATTAGCTTAAGCTAATAGTCCTTCTAAAAAGCCGGTGACTAGTTAAAGCTAGCCTAGCTATTTAGCAAGTTAAAGTTTTGTTTATTATTGCAATTAAGCAAATAAATTACTCTACTAACTAAAAACGGCTATGCACTACTATTTAAAAAATTAAGAAAAAGCTCTTAATCTGTTAATCCTTATTTTATTTAGACTTAGTAAGTTTCTCTATATTAAGTTAAATTAAGCCGCAGGCTTTACGCCTAGTAGTACTTTTTTATTAATTTCTTTAAGTTTTAGCTTTGCGACTATACTCTTCCTAAAACTCAAAAACTTTAATTTCTTATAAAGTGCCAAGCAAGTTAAAAAAAAAAATATTACTTAATTTCTAGTTAGTATAGTTTACAGTTAAAACTACGACAGTATCTGATTGTTTTTAATTTCCTAACTTTTATTTACTAATTAATAAAAACATTTTTAGCAAATACTTTCGCAGTAGTTAGTTTTTAATAAATTTAAAAATTTTACCTCTAATAATTAAATACTAATGCCCCTAACTGTTTCTATTAATTATTATAGCAGTCCTAGAAACTAACAAAATAGAACTGTATGTCCTATTCTATTATTTTATACTAATATATTTGAGCAAAAGCCTGCTTTAAACACTCTAATTTTTTTAAAATAAAAGTCCTAGTCCTTAATATACTTAGTAAAAGGCATAAAGTTTTTTAAAAAGAAAGCCTAGCTAAACAAGTATATGCAGTAAGGCAGACTTACTAGCTAAATTTAAATTTTAATTACAAGCTTTTTAACTACAATAATTTTAATATATGCTATTAGAGCTAGAATTACTGCAGCTGCTAGCACTAGACTTGCCTTCTAATTGTTTCTTGTTAAGAAGTTTAAATTGTACTTATTTTAATTACAAAACCCAAAAAAGCCCTGTATTAGTATTTATTATTACTACTTTTCTGTGTTGGGATTGAGTAATTTGCGCGCCTGCTGCTTTTTTTGGATATAGTAGTTGTTTTTTAGGCTCCTTTTCCGGAATTAAACCCTAATTCCCTGTTATTTGTTAAAATTATAGTAAGCTAATACTTTACTATTAAAAGTTAATAGGGTAGAAATTTAAATAAACTGTTGCTAGCGCAAGGCTATACAATTTATAAAGTTATTATAAATTACTAAAAAGCCCTAAAGGGCGTTAGTTTTTTATTTAATAAATATACTTCTTTTAAAGTTAGGGTTTTCAGCATGTATTAGCTCTAGAATTACTATAGTTATTTAAGTAGTAAAGTACTATTAAATAAATAATAACTAATTTAATGAGCCATTCGCAGTTTTACAGTATAATTGCTTATATTTAAATATATATAGCTTAATTTTTAAAATAAGCATATAACTACTAGCAGAATTAACTAGGTAATAATTTTATACTTAGGCGTACAAAGCATGCGGGCACAAACCCTTTAGAGGGAGCAGAAAGTACTAAGCAGATAGCTATACAAAGCAGTGCTAGCTGCTTACTACAAAAGTATACAAGGCACTAATACTGCAAGTAACTAATTTAGTTGCTTTTACTAAGTTCCTTAAAGTGTAGTCCAAGACAGGGCATTACTAGCGTTGCTGCTAAAAAAAACCCGCACTATATGCATTTTAGGAAAAAAAAACTTATAATTGCTTTATTACGCACGCAAGCGCGGATATTTAGTAGAAGTATTTCTAGAAATTTAATAAATAGTTAGCAAAGCTAGCTATTTATAAACCCCAAATAGTGCCTATTTGTAAAAATAAATAAGACTTTAAGTATTAACTATAAGAACAGGTGCAGCGCTAAGGCGTTGCTTTGTAATATAAGCTTTAGCTAACTTAATTAAGTAGAAAACAGCTGCCTAGCCCCTAATATCATGCTAACTAGAGTAGATATTACTAGCTAATATTTAGGAAATAGGGCGTGCAAATACGGGACTATAAATATGCAAGCTGCTTACTAATAATGCCTAAGCTATTGCTAAAAAGTAGTAGAAAATAAATGCAGGTAAAATAGTTTTTAGGCTACTTTTTTTATACTATGCACTCTACTAATAGCTAGCTTTTAGGTATAAAGAGCCCCTAAAAGCTTTTTTTATGCGCAAAACTAATAAGTACTAGTACGCTTATTAATAAAGTACTTTATAGTAAGCAAATTAATTTAATTAAAAGCTTATTATTACTACTGCAAGGAAGGAAAAATAGGCAGAGGGACTAGCATACCGGCTCTATTTTTAGGCAGAAGCCTATTTTATACCCTACTACTAACTATTATTTATGCTTTAACGCCCTTAAAGCTTACTGCAAATAGTAGTAAATAAAATAGTTATATTTTTAGAAACCTTAACTGCCCTCTTTATGTAGTGTACAAAGGTAATTAACTCTAGTTTTTGTATTGCGGGGTAGATATAGTAGAAAATATATTAGAGCTTAGGTTTTTACTAGCAAAATCGCGGAAATATGCGCAGCGCTATATAAACTATAAACCTATATTTGCTAACTTACGCGA